CTACTACTACTACTACTACTACTACTTCTACTACTACTACTACTACTACTACTACTACTACTACTAGTACTACTACTACTACTACTACTACTGCAACTGCCACTGCCACTGCTACTGCTACTGCTACTGCAACTGCAACTGCTACTGCTGCTACTACTACTACTACTCCTACTTGCATTCTTATCAGTACTACTTCTAGCACTACTATTACTACTACTACTACTACTACTACTACTACTACTACTTATTTTTTATTACTACTACTACTACTACTACTAGTACTACTACTAGTACTACTACTATTACTACTACTACTACTACTACTACTACTATTACTACTATCATTACTACTACTACTACTACTACTACTACTACTATCTTTACTACTGCTACTACTACTACTACTACTACTACCACGACCACTACCACTACTACTGCTGCTACTACTAATACTACTACTACTACTACTACTGCTACTTCTTCTTCTACTACTACTACTACTGCTACTACTGATATTGCCATGCTTTCTAGTCTTACTACTTTTACTACTACTACTACTACTACTACTACTACTATTACTACTACTACTACTACTACTACTACTACTACTACTACTACTACTACTACTACTACTGCTACTCCTGCTACTACTACTACTACTACTACCACCACTACTACTACTACTACTACTACTACCACGACGACGACGACGACTACTACTACTACTAGTACCACTATGAATACTGATCATACTAGCACTGTCAATATCGATAATACTAGCCTTAATCATATTAGTAAGAATATTGGTAATACTGGTGCGAAGAATAACGTTAATACTACAAGTGCTATTAAGAATGACAATCAGAAGAATAACAATCATAACAATGATGTGAATATTAAGAATACGAATGAGAGGAGGAGAGGTCTATTCGGGCTTTCCTGGGGACTCTCGGAGGCCTCCTGGGGGCCTCTTGAGCCGTCTTGGGCCATCTTGGGGCCGTCTTGGGTACATCTTGGGCCTTCTTGGATAGATGTTGCGGCCATCTTGGGCTCTCTTGGATTCTCTAGGGGCCATCTTAGACGTCTTGGAGGCATCTTGGAGGCCATCTTCAGCCATCTTGGCTGTCTTGGATCGGCAAGACCGATGACCTGGGAAGGTTACGAGTCCTTACGGGGCGCCTTGGAGGCCATTTGGAGGCCGTCTGGAGCAGAACAATCCTTGCCCACCGGGTCCGGCAGAGCTTTCCGGGTGGCCGGCGGGTTGGGCCGAAGGCACCTGGGCACGCCATGCACCCCCCTGTGGCAAGCCAACAGGTGGCGGCGGATCTAGTGGCCTTCGGCCCATCCCGTCACCGTGCTTTGGTTATTGGTCAGAGGCTTCTTGGATGCCTGTGGGGATCTCCTGTGAGGCCTCTCGGAAGTCTCTTGGAGGCGGTTCTGGGGTGTCTTTGGGGCCTCTCGGGGGCCTCGTGGGGGCCGGATTAGGGCCTCTCGGGGGCGTCCCAGAGCTTCTGGGGGACTTCTTAAGGGCCTGCCAGCGGTCTCGGAGGTCGTCGTCAGGCGGAGGGCTCGAAATGTCCGTTCGTGCTCCACCTCTGGGGCTTCTTTTGGTCCCCATGTAGGGCCCTCTTGGGCCGTCTTGGGGGCCTCTTGGGCCGTCTTGTGGCCCTCCTGGGCCGCCTGGGAGCCTTTTTGGGCGCCTCTTGGGCCGTCTTGGGGCGATCGTGGAGGCCTCTTGGGCCGTCTTGCAGCGTCGAAGCAACAAGAGGCGAGAACGCTAGACTCCTACAAACGCTTCAGAACCATGAGCGATTTTGGCCTCTCGGGGGCTCTGGGGGCCATCTCGAGGCGATCTTGAGACATGTTGAGCAAAGCATGGGACAAGCAGAGCCCATTCAACAACTATGGCATTGCAGTAGTGGTTGCCCTCTCAAGGGGGGATGGGGGGGGGACGGGGGAGGGTGGGGAGAAGGAGGGGCTTGGAGCCCAACTGGGCCATCAAATGGGCACCTTGAGGCCATCTTCGGCCATCTTCCACTCTTGAGTATCTCGTCGGGGCTTTTCGGGGCCATCTCTGAGGCGTCCTGGGCCCTCCTGGCCGGGCCGTAGGATGGCGTCCTTCTTGGAATTCCAGGGCAGCCAAGTGCAGCCAGAAGGTTGAGCCCCTTATGATTTCTTCGAGGTCTCGGGCGCTCCCATTAGACAGTGGAGTAGAGACAAGAACTGGAGAGACAAGAGAGGGAGAGCGAGAGAGAGAGAGCGATATATATATATATATATATATACACATACATACACAGAGATAGAGAGAGATACTGAGAAAGAGAGAGAGAGAGAGAACCGAATCAGGCAAGGCCGCAGTGCAGCATGACGCTTCCCAGTCTTGCGCCCCCATGGGGGACTGGTGCGTATCTTTTTAGCATTCCAGTGCTTTGTGCTCGCATTGTTTTGCGTTGCGCCGCTTTGCACTGCATTTCGTTGCTTTGCATCGTTTGGTATTGCATTGCTGCTCTTCGTTGCGTCTCATTCTTCCCGTTTGGAGATGGTTAAGGGCAGTCCCTTTATCCTTCCACCGCCTTGCACTGCGATGCGCTGCTTTGCATTCATGTATACAACGTTGCATGTGTGTATATACCGACATGGTTTGCGTTGTGTGACTGACATGTGTGCCCAGACTTTCGGGAGTTGCTTTGCATGCCTCTCATTGTGTTGCCTTGCGCAGCATGGCGCTTGGCATTCCACACCGTATGTGGCATAGAGCATCCTCGGGATATCTTTAGTTTGATCATATATCTCCTCTCACTCTTGCCTGCAGTCTGCCTGCTCGTTTTTTTCCGTAATGGCGTAGGGTAGGTTGATGATGATGATGATGTTGTTGATGATGATGATGATGATGATGCTGATGATGATGATGATGATGATGATGATGATGATGATGATGTTGCTGTTGATGATGATGGTGATGCTAATGAGGAAGAGGAGGAGGAGGAAGAGGAGGAGGAGGAGGAGGAGGAGGGAGCAAGAGGAGAAAGAGGAGGAGGAGGAGGAGGAGGAGGATGCTGCTGTTGCTGATGATTCATGATGCTGCTGCTGCAGCTGCTGATGATGATGATGCTGCTGCTGATGATGATGACGATGATGATGCTGCTGCTGCTGCTGATGATGATGATGGTGATGATGATGATGATGATGATGATGCTGATGATGATGATGATGATGATGCTGATGATGATGATGATGATGATGATGATGATGATGATGATGATGATGATGATGAGAAGGAGATTGGGGGGTGGTGATGGAGGGGGACGTGAAGGGTATGAGAAGGAAGAGGAGGAGGAGGAGGAGGAGGAGGAGAGAACGAACAAAGATGAGAAGGAAGAGGAAGATGGAACCCAGGAGGAGGACGCCCAGCGGGGTGGAGGAGGGGGAGGGGGAGTAGCACGAGGGGGGGGGGGGGGGGGGGTCCCAGCGCCCCCCCCCCCTCTCGTGGGAGTTTCCCCGTGAGGAGGAGGAGGAGGCGGAGGAGGAGGAGGAGGAGGAGGCGACTTAACGCCACGCGCGCTGTCCTAAAGTTGCCCAACGTAAAAAGGAGGATGACGCGGAGGAGGAGGAGAAGCAGGAGGAGGAGGAGGAAGATGAGGAGGCGGAGGCGGAGGCAGAGGCGGAGGCGGAGGCGGAGGAGGAGGAGGAGGAGGAGGCGGAGGAGGAGGAGGAGGCGGAGGAGGAGGAGGAGGGATGCTGAGGAGGAGGAGGCGGAGGAGGAGGAGGAGGAGAAGGAGGAGGAGGAGGAGGAGGAGAAGGCGGAGGCGGAGGAGGAGGAGGAAGGAGAAGGAGGAGGAGGAGGAGGAGGAGGAGGAGAAGGACGATCATTCGAAGAAGGATAAGACGAAGACGACTAACACGAATGCGAACGCTAAGAACATGAAGACTCATGACATTAAGAATAATGCTGTAAATGAGACCGAGATGACGCATACGAATAACATTAGTCGCACGCAAAGTAATAATACAACTGCTACATGTCAAAAGCTGTTAGGCATACGATGAGCAATACTACAACTAAGAAGAACACTAACCATAATACGCAGAGGCGGATGAGGAGGAACGTCAGGATGGGGCGGGGGGAGTGCTAGAGGCAAATGCCCCTACGGGACCGAGGACGAAGGATGAGGACGTCGGGCAGAGGAGGACGAATAGGAGGATGAGAAGGAGGAGGAGGAGGTGGAGGAGGAGGAGGAGGAGAATAATGAGGAGAGGGACGCGGAGGATGAGGAGGAGGATGAGGCGGAGAAGGAGGATGATAAGGAGGAGGTGGCGGAGGAGGGGGCGATGGAGGAGGAGGAATAGGATATTGAGGAGGAGGAGAAGGATGGGGGAGGATGAAGAGGATGAGGAGGATGAGGAGGAGGAGGAGGGGGAGGAGGAGGAGGAGAAGGAGGAGGAGGATGAGGCGCAGCAACAGCAGCACCAGCAGCAGTAGCAGCAGTATCGGCAGCAGCAGCAGGAGAAGGAGGAAGAAGGAGGAGTTGGACGATGTGAGTGAGCATGCTCTGCGCACATCGTCTGGGAGTCTGGACTTAGTCGGGACGGAGGGGCGCCAGCTAGCCTGTGCACCGATCGTGGCCAGGCCAAGCTTGGGCCCAGCATCGGTTGTCTCGCCCTCCTGAGCGGTGGACGTGTTCCACCCCCTGGCTGGCGTCTCTTCCCCGCTTCGCGTCCTGGGGCCATTACAGAACGATCCAGCTCAAGCAAATCGGGCAGAACTAGTGGCCTGGTAGTTCGGGCCGTGCGTGTTGTGTGACGTTATGAGTGCTTAACGATTTCTGCGGTCGGCTTGCATCCTTCCTTTCCTGTGAGTAAGAGGAGCATGGGGAGGGAACATGGAGGGGCGGGAGGAGGGTAGGGTAGGGATGATGAGGGAGGGAGAAAGGAGGGAGGAGGAGAAGGAGGAGGAGGAGGAGGAGGAGGAGGAGGAGGAGGAGGATGAATGATGAGGGACGAGGGGGGAAGGGGGATGCTGGGAGTGGAGGCGGAGGAGGAGGAGGAGGAGGAGAGGAGGAGGAGGAGGAGGCAGAGGAGGAGGAGGAGGGACGAGGATGAGGAGGAGGAGGAGGAGGAGGAGGAGGAGGACGTCGGACGTCAGGGCCTTCATGGTACCTGTGGCTCCGTGGCGTTTTTGGCTCGAGCCAAGCCTACGCGCTCTGGGGCCTTGTTGAAGATACTGCCCTCGTCCTCCTCCATCTCTTCTCCACCTGGTATTGCTATTGGCGCTCCTCCTCCTTCACCTCCTCCTCCTCCTCCTCCGCCTCCTCCTCCTCCTCTCTCCTTCTCTCCCATCCTCTCTCTCCCTCATTCCTCCTCCTCCGCCTCCTCCTCATCCTCATCCTCATCCCATCCTCATCCTCATCCTCCTCTCCTCCTCTCTCCTCCCTCCCTTCTTCCTCGTCCCTCGTCCCTCCTCCCTTCTCCCTCCCTCCTCCTCCTCCCTCCTCCCTTCTCCCTCATCCTCATCCTCCTCCCCTCCTCCTCTCCTCCTCCTCCTCCTCCTCCTTATCCTCCTCCTCCCTGTCCTCCTCCTCATCCTCCCTCTCCCCCCTCCCCTCCTCCTCCTCTCCCCCCCCTCTCCTCCTTCCTCCTCCTCCTCCTCCTCCTCCTCCTCCTCCTCCTCCTCCCTCCGTTCTTCCTCCTCCACCTCCTCCTCGTCCTCCCTTCTCCTTCTCTTCCTCCTCCTCCTCCTCCTCCTCATCGTCGTCCTCCTCCTCCCTTCTCCTTCCTCCTCCTCCTCCTCCTCCTCCTCCTCCTCCTCCACCTCCTTCACCTCTTTTTTCTCCTTCTCCTTCTCCTCCTCCTCGTTCTCCTCCTCCTCCTCCTCCTCCTCCTTCTCCTTCTCCTCCTCCTCCTCCTCCTTGATTCCCTTTCCTTGTAGAGACTCCTCCCCGTCGCATCCCGAGGCCGGTCCAAGAGGCGGGCCCGGCGTTTCGCTTCAGACTTCTTCAACATTTATCATCCTGAAGCTTCAGGGGTGCCAGCAGTTTCACATATTGAGGGCAGGTCCTTTCAAAACGTGTTTCTCGCCTTAGCGCCGCACACCTTCGTTTCAGACATTTGCAGGAGTTTCACGGATTGAGGGCGGTTCATTTTCAAAAAGTGGCTCTCGCTTGCGCGCCGCGCACATTCTTTTTACACGTTCGCAAGAAATTCACGGATGGGGGGTGGTTGGTTTTCAAAATGTGGCTCTCGCTTAAGCGCCGCGCGCATTCTTTTCAACATATGCAAGGGCTACACTGCTTTAGGGCGGCTCCTTTTCAAGAAGTGGCTCTCGCCTTAGCGCCGCACGCGTTCAGTTTACACATTTGCAAGAGTTTCACGGATTGAGAACGGGTCGTTTTCAACATGTGGCTCTCGCCTTCGCGCCGCGCACATTCTTTACGCAATTTCGCAAGAGTTTCACGGATTGAGGGCGGCTCATTTTTAAAGTGTGGTTTTCGGTTTAGCGCCGCACACCTTCGTTTTAGACATTCGCAGGAGCTTCACGGATTGAGGGTGATTCGTTTTCAAGAAGTGGCTCTCGCTTGAGCGCCGCGCACATTCTTTGTCAACATTCGCAAAGGTCTCACGTATTGAGGGCGGCTCCTTTTTAAAACGTGTTTCTCGCATTTCCGCCGCACACCTTCGTTTTGGAAGTGCGCAAGATTTTCACGGATTGAGAGCGGGTCGTTTTCAACATGTGGCTCTCGCCTTCGGGCCGCGCGCATTCTTTTACAACATGTGCAAGTGTTTCACGGATTCAGGGCGGTTCATTTTCAAAATGTGGCTCTCGCTTGAGCGCCGTGCGCATTCGTGTACAACATGTTCAAAAGCTTCACGGATTGAGGGTGGGTCGTCTTCAAAATGTGGTTCTCGCCTCAGAGACGCGCACATTCGTTTTACACATTGGCAAGAGTTTCACGTATGGAGGGTGGTTCGTTTTCAAAACGTGGCTCTCGCTTAAACGCCGCGCACATTCATTTTACACATTTGCAAGAGCTTCACGTATGAAGGGTAGGTCGTTTTCAAAACGTGGCTCTCGCCTTCGCGCCGCGCACATTCCTTTTCAACATGTGCAAAAGCTTCTTGGATTAAGGACGGCCCCTTTTCAAAATGTGGCTCTCGCCTGAGTGCTGCGCACATTCGTTTACAACCATTCGCAAGATTTTCACATATTGAGGGCGGGCCGTTTTCAACATGCTGCTCTCGCCTTCGTGCCGCGCACGCTCGCTTCAAACATTTGCAAGAGCTTCACGGATTGAGGGCGGCTTCTTTTCAAAATATGGCCCTCGCGCCATCGCCGCGCACATTCGTGTTAAGAGATTGCAAGAGCTTCACGGGTTGAGGGTGGGTTGTTTTCAAAATGTGGCTCTAGCCTCAGCGCCGCGCATATTCGTTGAATATTGTGGAAGAACTTTGCGGATTGAGGGTGGGTTCGTTTCAGAAGTTGCATTGTTTCTTATGGCTAACGTACAAGATCTAGTGCCTTGGAATGACCCAGGAATGTCGGGCGCAACAGTTACGTCGACTCGTGGTGTTGAGGTTCCAGGAATGGTGTTCTGGCACGATTCAGGATCGCCAAGACGTAACAGTCAGGTTAACTCGTGCCGTTGAAGTCCCGAGAACGGTGTTTTGGCACGCTTCAGGGTTTTCGCACGCTTGTCCCCCAACGGGGCAAGTCCCTCAGTGGAAATGACCCCGTGTAGGGGCCTACGAAGAGGGAGCTTGGAGGGAGGGTGTATCCCAACATCGTTGATGAGCCTTGGGTTTACGCTGGTCCTCCTCCTCCTCCTCCTCCTCCTCCTCCTCTTCCTCCTCCTCCACCTTCCCCTTCCGGTGATGGCCGCGCGCCCGCCGGGGCTGCCCTGGCGGTGCCTGGCCGGCCTTTGCGGGGAAACCAGCGGCGCCGCGCTGTCGCCCTCGGACGCCGCGCTGGTGCGGCTCTACGTGGCCGCGTGCGCGCGCCGCTGGAGCGCCGTGGGCCCCCTCGCGGCGGCCGCGACGGCCGCGGGCGCAGGTCGGAGGCGGCGAGAGGGGCGAATGGCCCATGGGGCGGGCATTGCACGCATGCTTCCTGGACATGGGCCATCGGCGCCCCTGGATGCACGTAGTGTTGCTCCCCCCCTGGGTTATTCGCCCCTCTCGTCTCCCTCCGAGCGGGGCCGGGCGAGCTGCGGCAGACGCTGCGGGTGCTCATCTCGGAGGGCACCAGCTGGACACCCAGACCGAGCCCGGCCAGGCCGATCTTCGGCCCGACCTGGGCTTCGTGTCATCGCCGTGCCTGCACGCCGTCCCTCCCGAGCCGGGAGGGCGCTGGTGCACCGAGCGAGGGCCCAGGATGCGCCTTGCCGGGATCCGTGTGGGTGTGTAGCAGTTGGCGTCCTCCGGTGATCCCCCACGCAGGGTACACCGTCGCCCTGGCCGCCTTCCGCGCGGCGGAGGCGCACGGCGCGCTGCCAGAGCCCGTGCCCCACGGCGCGGAGCGGCAGGCGATGGCCACCTGGTCGCTCTTCTACGAGCGCGTCGCCGACCGCGTCCTCGCGAGCATCCGCGGCACCGACGCGGCCCTGGCGGACTGGATACCCAGGAGCTGCTACGGCGACGTGATCGCCTCCCCGGGGCTCTCCCCGCGCCAGACCGAGCTCTCCGTGGTCGGTGGGCCGCCGTCGGCTTCGCGCGAGAGTGACCCTTCGCCGGAGTGACCTTTGGGTGCGGGCTCACAGGGATCCCCCCCAGCACTGGCCTGCGCGCTTGGATTTGGCATACCCGCGGCCCCCTAAAGCTGCGCACCAAAGGTCACTCTTGCCTAGGATCGCTCTTGCAAGCAGCCGACGCCACCCTCGGGGCCCAGGTGGACAGGCTGGAGCCAGCCTCAGCAGGCCCTCCGGAGGAGGGAGTGGGGGCAGCGGGCTGCAGGGGAGGGAAGGATGATCCTGACCTCGGCATCGTTTTTTGGGGCCTATGGCCCTGAAGCCTTCCTTCTGGCTGGTCCTCGGGGGCCATCCTGGCCATTGTTTTCGAGCCCAGGGTCTGTACGTAGACATTGAGCGTCGGCCAAAATGTTTGCCGATTGAGATGAAATTTTAAATGCTGCGGTCGGCTTTTCCGGGAACGCGGCGATTTCAGCCAGATCTTGGGCCCCAGAGGTCGGGGGCGGAAAAGAGGGGGGTGATGACTAGGGGGGGGTGGATATCATGGCGTGGGCCATGATATTTCCCCAGATTTCATGGCGCCTCTTCTTATTTCATTACGTCCCTGGCCCCCCCGCCGAGCCGCGCACATGCCGCCGGTCATGATTTGCACCCCCCCCTCTTTGACGCCCCCCTCTTTGCCGCTCCCGAAGAGGGGCTCCATCCCCTCGCGTTCCCCGCTCCCGCCCTTGCGGGTGCGGCGCCGACGTCGAGAAGGCGTGCCCGCGCGCGGATGCGCCGCCCGAGGAGCCCATGCCCCAGGACCCGCAGGGGGGGAGGGGGGCAGCGGCTATGGACATCCTGGGAGGGGGAGGGGGAGGAGGAGGAGGAGGAGGAGGAGGAGGAGGAGGAGGGGAGGAGGAGGAGAGGAGGAGGAGGAGGAGGAGGAGGAGGAGGAGGGAGGAGGAGGAGGAGGAGGAGGGGAGAAGGAGGAGAGGAGGAGGAGTGGAGGAGGAGGAGGAGGAAGGAGGGAGGAGGAGGCGGAGGAGGAGGAGGAGGGGGAGGAGGAGGAGGAGGAGGAGGAGGAGAGAGGAGGAGGAGCAGCAGGAGGAGGAGGAGAGCAGGAGGAGGACGAGGAGGCGGAGGGGGCGGAGGGGGCGGAGGGGGCGGAGGGGGCGGAGGAGAGGAGGAGGAGGAGGGAGGAGGAGGAGAGCAGGAGGAGGAGGGGAGGAGGAGGAGGAGGGGAGGAGGAGGGAGGAGAGGAGGAGGAGGAGGAGGGGGAGGAGGAGAGGAGGAGGAGGAGGAGGAGGAGGAGGAGGAGGAGGTAGGAGGAGGAGGAGGAGGAGGAGGAGGAGGAGGAGGGAGGAGGAGGAGTGGGAGGAGGAGTGAGGAGGAGGAGGAGGAGGAGGAGGAGGAGGAGGTGAGGAGGGAGGAGGCGGAGGAGGAGGAGGGAGGAGGAGGAGGAGGAGGAGGAGGAGGAGGAGGAGGAGGAGGAGGGAGGAGGAGGAGGAGGAGGAGGAGGAGGAGGAGGAGGAGGAGGAGGAGGAGGAGGAGGAGTGCCTCCCCGGGGTACAATATCCGCTGCCTCTCTGGGCCCGGGGCGCCTGTCCGCCTAGGGTGTGGATTCTCCAGGTCTGCAGGGCGGCTCTGGCCCCGCATACGCAGAGGATCGCAAGCCTCCACCCTGGAGGCCAGACGTCCATGTTCTGGAGGCGGATCGCTTGCAGGATAGAGGAGAGAAGTGAACAACAAAACACGGTATGGGCGTGCACTGTCGGAGCTTCGCGCGGATTTCTTGGACCTGTGCTAGACCAAGGGTTTTCTTAGTCGTGAAATCGAAGTCTCAATCGCGCATTAATGAAACTACGCATATTATATGCTTCGCAGTGCTTTTTTACGTAGTGTTCTTTACCTAGTGTTTTCTACGTGGTGTTTTCTATTATGTAGTGTTTGCTACTATTACGTAGTGTTTTCTACTACGTAGTGCTTTCTAATACGTAGTGCTTTCTATTACGTAGTGCTTTCTACGTAGCGCGCCGCTCGATTAGGCGCTGTACTAGGCGCTGTACTTGGCGCTGTACTATGTGCTGTATTAGGCGCTGTACTAGGCGCTGTACTAGGCGCTGTGCTAGGCGCTTTATTTGGCGCTGTGCCAGGTGTTGCAAAACTGAAAATCGAAACGCGAAGCTCGCAAACCGAAACCCGAAGCCAGAAAATCCCAGACAGTCGAACCCGAACAGCCGGTCCGAAACGCGGAACCCCCAAAGCCGGAAATCCGAAGCCAGAAATCCGAAACCTGAAAGCCGGCCCGACACGCGGAACCCGAAAACAGGAAATCCGAAGCCAGAAAACCGAAGCCCGAAAGGCGGGTCGAATCGCGGAACCCACCTACGCAGTGTTTGCTATGCAGTGTTTTCTATGTAGTGTTTTAGCGCGCGCCTCCAAGAACGATGATTGAAAGGCGCTTGCTCAAACACAAAGCGTAAAACACCACGCAGGAAGCACTGCAAACAAAAACATTGCGTACAAAAACACTGCGTGCATATCATTGCGTAGAACAACAATGCGTTAAACAAAACAACTGTATAACAACACGGCGTGGCACAAACACCGTAAACACCGTGCGTAACACACATTGCGTAACACAACAAGCTGCGTACAAACATTGCGTACAACACACTGCGTTAAAAACGCTGCGTTAAAGCCACTTCGTAAAACGTACGGCTTAAAAATAACACACACTACGTCAAAGCGTTGCGTTGAAGAAAACACGGCGTTTAAAGCATTGCGATCAAAAACATTGCGCAAAACAAAAAGCACGGCGTTCAAAGCACATCGCGAAAAAAAACATGTTGTTAAAAACATTCCGTCAACACAAACACGGTGTAACAAACAACTGCGTTGTTCGTTGATGAAAAAGCCGCGTTTAAAACGCTGCGTAACAAAAACACGGCGTTCAAAACATTCCGTTCAAATAACGTTGCGTTGAAAGCATTGCGTTGAAACAAATTGCGTAAAACAGGCACTGCGTTAAGGGACACTGCAATAAAACAAACACTGCGTAAACAACATGGCGTACAACAGCGCTGCGTACAAACAATCACTGCGTAACAAAACGCTGCGTTTGAGACGCTGCATAAAACAACACTGCTAAAACAAAAACAATAGCATTGCGTAACAAAAACATTGTGTTAAACAAAACATATTTTTGGACAAGCATTGCGCTAAGCATACTGCTTTAAGAACACTGCGTAGAAAAAAAGGACTGGGATAATAAAACAACAGCGTAAAGCAATTGCGTTTAGACATTGCGAAAACACGGTGTTAAAGACATTGCGCGAAAACACGACGTTAAAAACATTGCGTTGAAACATTGCGTTGAACACACCGCGTTTAAGACGCTGCGTAACACAACACCATTGCGTTATGAGCACTGCGTAAGCCAAAAAACATGGTGTTGAGACACTTGCGCGAAAAAACACTGCGTAAAACACATAGCGTTACAACATTATGCGTGCAAAAATCTGCGTAAACAGAACACTGCGTAAACATACAATGCGTAAAACCAACACAGCGCAAAACACTGTGTTGAAAACACCGCATTCAAAACGCTGCCTAACAAACACAGCGTTAAAAACATTGCATAACAAAAACCTGCGTCAAAACACTGCGTTAAGAACATTGCGTTAACAGTCACTGTGTCAAAACACATTGTGTACCAAGAACACTGCGTTAAACACATTGCGTAACCACACGCAAATGCACACACACACACGCACACACACACACACACACACTCCGTGAACAAGTATTGCGAAACAAAACGCATGATGTTGAACACGTCGCATGTAAACCGCTGCGTAAAACCACGGTGTCAAAAAACATGGCGTGGAAGTCATTGCGTACAAAAGCACTGCGTTTAAATCACTACGTTGGGAACAGTGCGTAGAGGAATTCAACTCACGCTTGAGACCAATTCTCGCTGGACCCTCTTCCCCTGCCTCCAGGATGGAGGAGGGAAGCGGACAACCAAACGTGGCTCTGGCATGAACCGCTGGAGCTCCGCGCGGATTTCTTGGATCTGCGCTGGACCCCCTCCCCGACGCCGACTCTGCACGCCAGCGCGGGGCTCCGGCGCCCAACCGAGCAGTCCGCGCGGAGTTCCGAAAGTGCACTGCGGATGCCGTGCTCGGCTCCTCGAGAGGGGCCTCCAGAGTCGAGGTCGCACCCCCGTGTTGAAGACCTCTTGACCCACCGAGCCACCCCAACCCAACTTGAAGGCTCCAATTTTGCGATCCATTCCCAGTGGGGGGGCGTCGGGGAACATGGAGAGCACACCTGTGTGTAACCCGTCCCCCCCCCCAACCCGAAACTTGGGCCTTCGGGTTCGGTTGGGGTGGTCTGGTAGGTAGTCACATATGGTCCCCTGGGCACCTCCCGGGGCCGGCCGCCCGACCGCGGGCCGAGCTGCTCTTCTGCGCCTTCCTGGCCGCCGCGGACCTGCCCGACGTGCTCTACGGGCACCTCGCCGCGCTCCGGCGCTTCGGCGGCGACCGCGCGGCGGCAACCGCGGCGGCGGGGCTCGGGATCGCGGAGCTGGGGCCGCTGGGCAGGCGCCGGGCGCTGCGGGCCGCGGCGGCGCGGCAGGTGGAGCGCGCCTACGCCCGGCGGGGGTCCTGAAGCCGTGGCCCCGGGAGGGGTGTCGCGTCGCTGCTCATCGTCACGTCGATGCTCATCTTCATCGTGATCTTCATCGTCACGCCGTTGCTGATCTTTTGGGTTTGGGGGTGGGTGGGGTGGAGTGGGGTGGGGTGGGGAGGGGGGTGAGACGGCCCCCGCCCTGGCACTCGGGCACGGGCTGGTAGCAGCAGCAGTGGAGGCATCAATATCGACAACATCGTGATCTTCATCGTCACGCCGTTGCTGATCTTTGGGGGTGGGTGGGGTGGAGTGGGGTGGGGTGGGGAGGGGGGTGAGACGGCCCCCGCCCTGGCACTCGGGCACGGGCTGGTCGCAGCGGCAGCGCGGGCATCAATATCGACAACATCGTAATCTTCATCGTCACGCCGTTGCTGATCTTTGGGGGTGGAGTGGTTGGGATGCGGAGGAGGGGGTGGAAGGGAGGCAGGCGGGGGACGTGGAGAGGAGGCGGGCGGAGGGAGGAGGGATGGGGTGGGGTTACTCGAAGCTCTTCCAAGCCTCTGGGGGAGTTCGGGAAATTCTGGGAGGAGCAGGGGGAGGAGGGAGGAGGAGGAGGAGGAGGAGGAGGAGGAGGAGGAGGAGGAGGAGGAGGAGGAGGAGGATGAGGAGGGGGAGGAGGAGGAAGGGGAAGAGAAGGTGGAGGAGCAGGAGGAACAAGAGGAGAAGAATGAGTGCTGGAGGATTCCAAATATGATTTTGAGGCTGATGATGGTGGTTGGCCCGGCCTCTTCCAGAGCCGGGAGAGTGGTTGCAACTCACAGGTCTGACCCACCTCCCTTTGCCTAAATTAATTGGGAATTCTGCCCCAGGATTGGTGGCCTTGGATCTTGGAGGAGGAGGAGGAGGAGGCCGGAAGGCCAAGCTTCAGTTCTGATAGCTCGATGCCGCTTTTCTAGGTTGGAGGCCTTCTGCAAGATGTAAGGCTCAGGGCCACTTCTCCCCCTCATCGTCGTCGTCGTCCTCCTTCTCCTGCTCCTCCTCCTCCTCCTCCTCCTCCTCCTTCTCCAGCCCTGGCCAATATCTTTCGGCTCCTCAAGCTCGAGCTGGCGGCGTCTTTCTGCTGCTTCAGGTCAGTTCCAGCCGTGGTCGCTTCTCTGGACGGGTCTCCAGCCTTCCTTTTTCGGCCCCCCGTGGGCGATCTTGTCACTGCGCCAGTGCTTTTTTTTGTTTTGTTTCTCTCTCTCTCTCTCTCTGGCCACGCGCGCAGAAGCAGCCATCGTGGCCTGGACTTCGGCGCTCTCGAATAATGCGTGGACCCCTTTTCAACCTTTTGGCACGGGTCTCCTCATCGTGCTTCGCCTTGACATGCTCCTCGCCTTCAGCGAGGGTTTTTTTCGCGCCATCACGGTGGTGTCCTGGCGTGCCTTTTGTGAGAAGAACTGCTTTGGGGGAACGAAGAATGACATAAACATAAAAACTCGGAGGTCCGCGCGGGTTTCTCGGATCCGCGCTGAAGCCCCCTCCTTCTCGCTCCCCCCGCGCCTCTGGCGCCGCCAGGTGGGCCCCAGCGTGGATCCGAGAAATCTCGCGGACCTCCGAGTTGTTTTTTCTTTATGTCATTCTTCGTTCCCCCGACCGCGTTCTTTCCAGGATGGGGAAGCGCAAGACTCGAGCTCGCCAGAGCTCGGGTTTGCCGATTTCCTTTTGGACGGGCCGATCCTGCAGTGTAGGGTGGGCCCGTCGAGAGCTGGTGCTTCCAGCTCTCGCGCTTCATCGGCATCAACGTGATGCCGCAAACGAGGGAACGTTGGGGGCCGATCTTTCACGGCTGGCGGTGTCATCTGATCATGGCGTAGTCATACGTTCTGACGGTCCAGACCTCGTGGGATGTCTGCAGCTGGCGCTCGCGTCAGATGTCGGCTTGGCTCTCGTCACTTCCCTGACGGCCCCGTCCTGCCAGCCCGAGCCCCCCGCACCAGAGTCTTGCGCCTCCCCGACCCTCGAGGGCGCCCGCGCAGCGAGGGAGGCACTGGTAGCGCATGCGTGCGCGCGGTGCCCGCGTCCGCGCGCACGGGGCACGGGGGCCGAGCCGTTGGCTCCTGCGCATCCTGGACATTTGGAGGGAGAAGGGGGCCGAGTGATCGACGCTGGCTTTTTTGAACGGTCATGCAGTGGTGAACTTGGGAAGCCTCTGGGGTGCACCACGGAGCCCTCTCGGAGCCTTCTCGGGCCCCGTTCGGGGAGCTTCTGAGGCTCTCGTGAGACTCTCTTGGGCCCCCCTGCAAGCTTTCCGTTCCCTCCTGGTGCTTTCCTGTAGGCCATCGTCCACAGAAACGGCTGGTCTTAAGCAAGCCCCCCCACTATCGGAGCCAGAAAATACGTCGATTGCGCCCCTCACGGGGCGCTCTTGGCGGCCTTCAGGGCCTTTCTGGAGGCCTTCTGGGCCCCTCACGAGGCTCTCTCGAGCGATTTCGGAGCCATCTCGAGGCTTCAGAAGCCCATCGGAAGCGAATGTACGAGAAGCTCGAAATCATTGGAACACATAAGCTTTCTTTTGTGGGATTTGGGCCTCACGGAAGTGTCCTTGGGAGGTGGCCGCGGAGCTGTCTTGGGGGATGGTCTTGGGGTGTGTTGGAGGCATGTTGGATGCCGTATGAGGCCATCATGCAGAGCGCACTTCTGGAGAGAGGAAGAGAGAGAGAGGGAGACAGACAGAGACAGAGAGAGAGAGAGAGAAAGAGAGAGAGAGAGAGAGACGAACGAGCCTCGGGGCAACAGCAAGTGAACGCGCACCACCACAATCTGGCCGCGCAAGACAGAGACGCAGACAGAGGCAGGCAGACAAACATGGAGAGGTAGTCGGCGGGGCATTCCACAGGGGGCCCCCGAACCACCCACAGCCCGAAGAAGTGGGTTCGCGCACGGCCCGCCTGCAGGCGTCGTTTGCTCGACCTTGGAGGAGCCACTAATGGTCGTCTTGGACGCTCTGGCCGCTCGCGAGGAGGTCCGTCCAGACCCGGGGTCGGGGGTAGCGGGAGGGAGCACATGGCTGTTGAGAGCGATGATACCCCCCCTTGGTCCTCAGCATCTGTATTGTATTCCACTCTCTCTCTCTCTCTTTCACTCCCTCTTTCTCTCTCTCGTTCATGCTGTATCCCCCGCCCAGGCGCGGATGCGTCGTCACGCGGATTCACGTGAAAGGTGTCACATCTCGTCCATGTAGACGGCGGTCCAAGTTTAAGAATTCGTGCGCGCACTTGGATAGTCACGTTGATGGGGGTATGCGAGGGCGTGGTCCGCATGGTCGTATTTGACAGGGGTGCTTCCTCCGTAGCTCGAGCTGGTCATGGCGTTGATATGGATAGGTTCCGCATGATGTTCTGTGACAGGGATGGTGCCCATCTAGCTCGTGCGCGTGGCCTGCGTGATATCACCTGACAGGGGAAGTGTGCGCGTGTGCCCCGCATAGTATCATTGGACAGGGACGGGAAAGTGCCAGGCCCAGATGCGGCCCAGTAGGGCCCAGGAGGGGCTGGTGCGGCCCCGTTCGGCTTGAGGGGCAGTGTGATATCGGCAAGAGCTTCTCTGGGGGTGGGCAGGAGGTTGGAAGAGCTAACTCGCTAAACCGCCTGCGGCCAGAGGGTTGGTGGGATCTCTGGACGGACGAGCCTCGAGAGCGGCAATCCTGTTCCATGCATGAGAGGGCTTTCTTTTTTTCTTGGTGCCGATTGCACGAGGCGAGGGTCTCGCCCATGCGGATCAAGGGCGACGACAACTGGACGTTCCCGCCCATGTCGCTGACGACCGTGAGGTGGGCAGGAGACCACGTTTCGAGAGCAGAATTCTGAGGTTGTTGATGCTCAGAGGGGGGGGAGATACCGATACCGCTGCCCGTCCCTCTTCGCCACGGCTGGATTCGCGTCGAAAGCTTAGTCAGAGCGCACTCGTGGCGAGGTCCGGGGATTATCGGTTTGGGTTTCTGGTTAATTCCCCAGATGATTGGCCAGCTCTTCCTCCGCACTCGGTGCCGCTGCTGTTGCCATCCCCGTGTGGGTGGCTTCCGAGTCGCTCTTGCAGGCATCCTTGCTCTGGATAACACTGTCGTTGCCGACGTTGCCTATTGTCATTTGGATTTCTAGTGACGCACAGACTTCAGATCACATGAGGGCATGCCCATCGTTTACATATTTCGTGCTACCTCCATCGATCGCGCCTCTCTAGGGTAAGCCAGCCTTGAATTGCACAATGCAACTACTAGCGGCAAGCCTCAGCACCGTGGCAGCGCAGTTGCGCAGCTTGACTGAGGCTGAGTCTAATACGCAGTCCAATTCAGTGCGCTGCCTGAACTTGATGGGCGTTGAAGTCGACCTCGTTCCCTCGATCTTGGATCGTGTATGGCCCTTTGGGAGGGTTATCGGGCCATCGGGTAGTATTGGGTCTATCTGGGAGCTCTCTTGGGGCAGTTTTGGGCCGTTTCGGGGACTCCTTGGGGCTCTCTGAAGCTTTCGTGTGGTGGTCTGAAGCCGAAAGGCCTCGGGAGCAACAATCACTGTTTGTTCCCAGCCATCCTGTGATGCTGGGTCCTCGTTCTGACTACACATCGCCCCCGCGTTTCCTTCCTCCCTCCCTCCCTCCTCCTCCCTTCTCCCCCTCCCCCTCTTCCCATCCCTGCCTGTGCCCTCCGCGCGCACTTTTCGGCACACCGCTCACGCGCTTCGTGGCCACATGGGGAGCTCCACCTAAAGCCCACACGGGCACCGTCCACATGTGGGCGTCACACCCGTTTCAGCACGCCGTTCACATGTGTCGTGGCCCCATATAGGGAGCTCCACCTGAGGCCACAGTGTCACCGTCCACATGTGGGCGTCACACCCGTTTCGGCACACCGCTTACACGTTTCGTGCCCCACAGGGAGCTTCACCGAAGGCCCTAGCGGCACCTTCCGCATGTGGGCGTCACGCCCGTTTCGGCACGCCGCTCACACGTTTCGTGGCCCCATCGGCAGCTTCACCGAAGGCCACACTTGTATCGTCTACGGGTGGGCGCCACGCCCGTGTCGGTACACCGCTCGCATGTTTCGTGGCCCCATCTGTGGGCTCCACAGATGGCCCCAGAGACACCGTCCACATGCTGGCGCCCCGCCCGTTTCGGCACACCGCTCAGGCGTTTCGGGGGCTCCACGGACGGCCTCAGGGACAGCGTCCACATGCTGGCGCCCCGCCCGTTTCGGTACACCCCTGACACTCTTCCTGTCCCCATATGGGGGCTCCACCTAGGGCCCCAATGACACCGCCCACATGCTGGCGCCCTGCCCGATTCTGCACACCGCTTGCACGTTCCGTGGCCGCATAAGGGGGCTCCACCTGAGGCCCCAGAGATACAGTCTACATGCTGGCATCACGCCGGTTTCGGCGCACCGCTCGCAGGCTTCGTGTCCCCATAGGGAGATCCACCCAGGGCCCCAGTGGCAGCGCCCGCATGGCTGCCTCACAGTTGTTTCGGCACACACCGCGCACATTTCGTGGCCCCATAGGGAGCTCCACCGAAGGCCCTAGCGGCACCGTCCCCATGTGGACGCCGCACACGTTTCGGCACACCTTTCATACGTGGCACCACAGGGAGCTTCACCGACGGCCCCAAAGGCACCGTCCACATGTGGGCGTCACACCCGTTTCAGCACGCCGCTCACACGTTTCGTGGCCCCACAGGAAGCTTCACAGAAGGCCCCAGTGGCACCGTCCACATGTGGGCGCCACGTCCGTTTCCGTACACCGCGCGCACGCTTCATGGCCCCATAGGGGTCCCCACCGAAGGTCCCAGGGACACCGTCCACATGTTGGCGTCACGCCCGCTTCGGCACACCGCTCGCACGTTTCATGGCCCCGTAAAGGGCTCAACAGAAGGCCCCAGTGGCAGCACCCGCATGACTGCCTCAAACCCGTTTTGGTACACCCCTCACACGTTTCGTGGCCCCATAGGGGGATCCACCCAAGGCCCAAACGACACTGTCCACGTGTGGGCGCCACGCCTGTTTTGGTACACCGCTCGCACGTTCCGTGGCCTCATAAGGGGGCTCCACCTAAGGCACCAGAGATGCCGTCCACATGCTGGCGTCACGCCCGCTTCGACGCACCGCTCACACGTCTCACTGCCCCATAGAGAGCTCAACTGAAGGTCCTCAGTGGCAGCGCCCGCATGACAACCGCGCACCATTTTTGCACACCTCACACGTTTCGTGGCCCCATGTGGAGTTCCACGGAAGGCCCCAGGGGCATCGCCCGCGTGACGGACCCGCTCCATTTGTGCGCCCGTTTCACGCGCTTCGTGGCCCCACAGGGAGCTCCACCCAAGGTGTTTGTGGCAGCGCCCGCGTGGCTCGGGTTGCATCCACGTGGTAACGCGCTGCCCAGACCGAGAGGCCACATTGTACTCCACTCGCAGTGTGATCGCCCCGCTCCTTCGCATCACCTGCCTTGCGGTACTCGCAGCTGCATATGGTTGGGCCCTTCGTCAGGCGAGTGTTGTCCTTCAACGTGCTTCTCATCTAAGCGCCACGCTGGATGACTCGTCAGGCGTCTCTTGGAGGCTTCTCGGAGGCTTCTTGGGGCATCTCGGGGAGATCTTTATAGTCGTTTAGGGATCGTTGGGGCGTCTTCGGACGGTTGTAGGTTGAGTTGAAGACCAACGCCAGTTCAGCGCGCGGTCTGAACTCGCGTGGGTCTTAAATTCGACCTCGGTCTTGGCGCCCTCTTGGGCCGCCTCGGAGGATGGTCGGGCCGTCTTGGGGCTATTCTGGGGCTCCCTTGGGGTAGTGTTGAGCCGTCTCGGAGGCTTCGTGGGGTTCTCTGACGCCCCACCGCGGCGATCTGACGCCGAAAGTCCTCGGGCGCAGACCTCCTGGATTAAACGAACGTTTTTTCAATACCTGTGGCTTCCTAGCAGCCTCGCTGAAGATCCCTTTGAAAGCCTGTTGGAGGCTTCGTGGGGTCTTCGGGAGGCGTCCTGAGGACGTCTTCAGGCCTTCAGGGGCCCTTTGCGGAGTCATTCAAAGATCTTGGGGGTTTCTTGCAGCCTTTGGGCGATGACTATCAGTTGCGGAGCCGTCGAAAAGCCGATAAGGCGCCATAAAGCAGGCGACGCTTGCAACGAGTGGAGGGTCGGTGGGTCGGCGTCAGAGAAACACAGGATATTTTCACCAGGAAACAGGGGGGGCATTCCAGCACGCCTCAGCGTGCTTGCGGCACGGTGGCGGATCCTTCCTGGTTCTGTCGTTATTCACGGGTCGTTCGCATCAGCGCTTGCGTGTGTGTGTGTGTGTGTGCATCTGTGTGCGTCTGTGTGTGCGAGCGTGCGTGCGTGCGTGCGTGCGTGCGTGCGTGCGTGCGTGCGTGCGTGCGTGCGTGCGTGTGTGTGTGTATGTATGTGTTTGTGTGTTTGTGTGGAGATGTTGGCACTTTTTGTCCTTGACAGTCTATGCCACCTTCAGCGTTTCCGTTCCGACTCATCTCATTGGTTGTGTTGTTCTTTAACATAGGTTTGCTCATATTGTTTTGATTGTCTATTCCAGTACTTCCCACAGTACAAGGTCCTGGGTTGGTGCCCCACCCGTGAGCCTTACTTGGGCTTCCCCTGCGGGACAGCTCACCTGCGGAGCGCCTCGCGTCGCCAGCATTGTTGCCAAGAAGTCTGCCAGGACACTGTCTCCAGGCTGCCAGTGCCGTGGCCAGGATGCAGGCCATGAAGCTCATTCCGAGCGTGCCCGGTCGCTTGAAACGCACATCGCGTGAGTTCGCTCGGACTGCCAATGATTTCGCGCGAAACCGAAAGGACCTGATGCATGCCAGAGATTTCTCCGGGAATCCCAAGGGTTCCTTTCTAGGATTCCTCAGGATACCGTACATTGTACCGTATCCCTTGGGATCTTGAGGAAACCCAGTGGATCCTAAGGACTCGCAGAGGAACCCTAAGGAATCATGCGGAAGACATTTGGGATCCTGAGGACTTCCCTTGGGGGACGCAATCCTAAAGATATTCCCTCTGGGATCCCAAAGATCTCGCGGACCCTACAGCAGCTCATCGTGCTCATGTCGCGGCGGATTCCGCCCTCCCGTGCTCCGAGGCGCCACCCGCCGCACAGCGAGACCCCCGCCGGTGCGAAGCAGCTTCCCCGCGCGAAACTCGCGCGCCCGCCCAGTCGCGCGGCTGCGCCAGCCCCCGTCGCGGAGCGATGCGCCCCCGCCAGCCGAGGAGCGAGACCCCGCCGGTGCGACGCCGCTGGGTCGCCCGCGCGCGAGACCCCCGCTCGCGCGCGCAGCCCCCCGGTCGCGCAGCGAGGTGCTGCCACCGTCGCGGAGAGAGCGCCCCAAGAGCGCCCCCGAGAGCGCTCCAAGAGGGGTCCAGGAGGCGATTTTCGGTGCTCCCGAGGGGGGGGGGGGACTTGGAGCTCCCCTCTTTTTTTGACCGATGCCCTCCAAGATGGCCCAGAGAGCGCCCCTGAAGCTCCCAAGAGCGCCCCAGGAGTGCCCCAAGAGCCGCCCAGACGGCCCCAAGAGACCTCCAAGAGGCTCCCAAGAGACCCCATACGAGGCCTCAGGAGGAACCCCCAGGTACCCAAGAGTTTCCCACCAGCCAGTCGCAGAACGAGACCCCCGGCGGATGCGATGCATGACGCCTCCCCCTTGGAGGTGGGCCGCGTGGGGGGGGAGAGGCGATGAAGGGAGCTCCTCTTGGGCACGTGCGAGGCGAATCCTGGGGCGTGGGGGGCTGGCATGCAGGCGGCGCCGTTCTCTGGCAGATTTGCCCCCCCCCCTTCGAGATCCGACGTCGCGAAGCACAACCGCTGCTGTACGAACCACGACCGGATACCCGGACCCAAGCTTTCTCCTGCACTCCTCGAGCCCGATCGATCTGTGGGGGCCCCGAGGCCCGAGGGCGGACGAGAACCTTCGGTGTGAAAGAGTGGCGACGCCCAGATTTCGGGGCCCCTACCGCCGTTTGCGAAATAAGCGCCCACGTGTGGAAGTACCGAGAGCCCCGCCCCGCGCCCCGCATTTCAATGTTGGCCACCAAACACGCCGAAGGGGAGTGCGCAGCGTTGCGAAATAAACGCCCACTTATGTTGGACTGCCCAGCCCTCCCCGTCAACCTTGAAATACGGGGGAAAGGGGGCGTGCTTCGTCGTCTTGTTTTCGATCCCTAAGATGGGCGTTTATTTCGCAAACGGCGGTATCCTCCCGTCGCCCTCGGGCTGTCCGAGCCTGAGCGGGGGCCCTTCAGCCACTGTGTTGATGCTGCGCTGCCCTGCCAATGCCTCGCCGTCCTGGGGGGGCTTTGCTGTGCTCTTGCTCGGCAGGGCATCCGGCCCGTGTGCGAAGCCAACCTGTCAATGCCGCGCTCTCCTGGGCTTTGCTGCGCTCCGGCTCTGAACGCAAATCGCTTAAGGCTGCTGAGAGCTTGGGAGATCGTCCGACAAAATGCCCCGCCGGCGCGTGCGAGGCCAGACAGCCCGCCCCCCCCCACACCCCGAGGGTGTCGCCGCTCCCACCCGCCACTGGTTGCTCGGCCCGCCGCGGTCTTGGTCTGAGCCTCTGCCTCCGGCGCGCGCGCGCGCCGCCCCGCGGCCGCTGGACCCGAGCGCGGCGGTGGGCCTGGAGCCCCGAGGCGACGACGACGACGACGACGACGACGACGACGACGACGACGGCCACCACCACGACGGCGACGACGACGAGATGGCGGCGGCAGCGGCGGTGGCGGCGGCTTGGTGGCGACGGCGATGGCGACGGCGACGGCGGCGGCGATGGCGACGGTGACGGCGACGGCGGCGGCGGCGGCCTTGACGGCGACGACGACGACGACGACGATGACGGCGGTGGCGGCGGCGGCGGCTGCGACGACGACGACGACGACGACGGCGACGAAGGCGGCGGCGGCGACGACGACGACAACGACGACGACGACGAAGGTGGCGGCGGCGGTGGCGGCTGTCACAGGGGCGCGCCGAGGCGTTCCAGAAACGGCGTTGCACTCGAGGATCGAATGAGTTGCCATGTTCTCCTCGACGGAAGGTGGCGGAAGTAGGACGAGGCTACCTCCGCCAGCGGAAGCCGGCGGAAGGCCGGCGGAACCCAGCGGAAGTAAACGATAAGCCTCGACGGCTCGAAGGATTCTTTGCGCGCTCAGGGCGTGCTGGGTCGCAACTCCCAGCCCGACCGACTCACTCGACACCTCCCCTCCGCGCGTGCGCGGCCCATGCGGAGCGGCGCCCAGGAGCGGGAACACCAACGACCTCTACGTCGGTGAGGTGAGCGCTGGACCCTGGCACGCGGGTCCTGGACCTGGAGATCAGCTTCACCATGCCGAATACGGCCTCCAGGGAGCAAGTGCACTGGGGAGGCAAACGGGCTCTTCGACGAGCCGCTCGTGCTCTATACCTGCTCGGAGTGGTGTGGTATCGTGGCAAGAAGTACACCAGGGCCACCGCCGCAGCTCTCCTCTCAGATCACCGACGCCAGGGGGCCCAGGGTGATGCTGAACATCTTTCTTCCACTTTCTCCTCGGGGGCACCACCTGCGCGTCCTCCTGCTGACCTCCCTGACTCGGCCACCAGCGCCGCCAGGTACCATGCACGTTTCACCCGACGAGCTCATCGCCACAAGCAGCTGATGACCTTCTGGAGCTACAACTGCGAGAGCCTACTTCGAGCTGACCGCCTCGGAGAACTACTTCGTTTAGCGACCAAGGCCAATGTGTCGGTGGTGTGCCTCCAAAGCACTTTGCTTGAGCTGGGGCTGCCGTGGACGACGGAGGGCTACAGAGTTATCCCGACGCCACGCATCACCCGTACGAGCCGTGACGGATGCCTGATAGCATTCAGCCTGCGACACTTTCTGCCCTCCGAGCTGCGTGTTTCCCACAGTTGGCTGGACGGCAGACTCCAAGGGATCCGACTACGAAGAGCGGGCCCCAGAGAACGAGACGTCTACATCCTGAACGGCTACGCCCCCCTGAATGAGGTTAGCCACGCCGTGACGGGTACCGATCACCATGAGAAAGTTGCAGCCCATCGAGAGTTTCAGAATAAATATTGGAATCAATGCCGAGCCGCCCTGCAACAAATCCCCCGCCGCACTGCCCTGGTTGTCACCATGGACGCCAACGCCGCCATGTCGCCGAACCCCCCCCACGTTGGCTTCGCGGGCCAGCGCCGCATGTACGCCGCCACCAACTACAACGGCATGCGCCTGCTGGACCTCCTGCAGACGTTCCACATGACCGCCCTCAACACGTTCGGCAGGATGAACCGCCAGAACGGGACATGGAAGCACACCACAGGCCCTGGATGGACCACCATCGATTACATCTGCACCAGGCTCCACGGTTCCTATGGCAAGCGGGCGGCCCCGCTGAAGAAGTTACCTGTCAGCCTCAGTGGTTACCGCGACCATCGCCCAGTTCAGGCTCAGATCTACGTCGGCCTTCGAGCACGCCGCCGACCTGAAGAGAAGCCCGCCCGCTGGGACCGAGACGCCCTAGTACAAGACCTCAACCTTCTCCGTGACCCCGATGCCGAACTCCCCCAACGCCTAGTGGATATGCGATCGAAATTTGTGACACTCCTTGACCAACGGCTGCTGTCTGGACAGTGGCCTGATGAATGCGGAGACGAACGCAGATACGCCACCCCGTCAGACTACTTCAACGCCTTGGAGCACACGTTGATCGAGGTAGCGGCCCCATACTACATTCTACAGCCCCAGAAGTTGACCCGCCCCAAGCTGAAGGACTCCACCCTGGCCTTGATCGACCGCAAGCATCGCATCCAGCGCAGAATGGCCAGCATGACCAATCAGGAGTCCGACAGCTACGCTGCCATGCAGGCCGAGTTCGACACAGCATATCGTGAAGCCGCCAGAGCAGTTCGAGCCGAACGCCGCCAACGACTGGCCGACACAGCCACGGAAGCGGAGACGGCCGACGCGAACCAGAACCTGCGGAAGCTCCACAGCGTCATCCGCCGCCTCGCCCCGAAGCCTGCCGCACCCACGGTCACGGTCAACAACCCCGAGTCTGGAGGCCTCTGCATGGACGACGCTGAAGAAGCCGACGTTCGAGTACGGGCCCTGTGCAGCATCTTCGAGGGCTCGATGATAGACATGGCCACACCTGGCGGCCCCCCTGGACTTCTTCCACGTGACGATACCAGAATCGGCTCATACACACCAGATGATGTCAGGAAGGCCATCCTCAAGATGCCCAAACTTCAAGAGTGCGCCTGTCCTCAAGCTGATAGACACGGAGACCGACCTCCCCGACCAGGACACGCATGACGGGTCCATCATCGAACTTTGGAAGCTGCTGGCGACCGAAGCCACGCCGGCGCTCCATGGAGTTTTCAACGCATGCCAGGCCCTTGGACACTCTGTCCAGCGCTTTAAAGACGGAGAAACGGTTTCACTACGGAAACCCAAGGGAGATGGTAAGAACGCGAAAGACCATTACCGCACCATCAATTTGATCAACCACATCGGGAAGGTGTTCATGAACGTCACAGTCATGCCGTCACTGCGCGGTTTGGCCTCAAGATTCTCCAGCTCGCAGTTCGGTGCCCTGGCAGGCCGCTCTACTCGTGATGCCCTGGCGGTCGTAGCCGAAGTGGTCCGACGATACAGACTTCATGGCCGCACCTCCCGCCTCGGCAAGACAGCGATCCCAGGCGTGCTCCTCGCGGTGCTCATTGACCTCGAGAAGGCGTTTGACCTGGTCGACCGCGATGAGATCTGGAATGCCCTAGAGCGCCTCTCCCTCAGGCGCAACGTGAGATGGTCGGTCGAGGAGCTCCATGAAGGCACATGCTACATCGCCAGAGATATTCGGACCAACCGCCCCATCAAGAAGCTGCTCATCTCCCGTGGCGTCCGCCAGGGGAGCGTGGAGGGACCCCTATTGTTCATCGCCGTCTACGACCTGCTCACCGCCAACTTAGAGCAGAGCCACGCCATGTCAGAATTCACCGTGGTCTCTGTAGTGTTCGACCCGACGTTGGAAAAAACTCGTCACCTCCACCTCCCCCCAGGAAATGATGGGGAAGAATGCTTACCAGTATCGCCCATAAAGTTCGTTGATGACTTGATCGCGTTCACCATTGTCGAGGATTTCGAAACGATCTCGAGGTTCCTGTCATTTCTGAAGAATGAAATCACGAAGGGGAAGATGAAAGTTAACGACTCGAAAACAGAAATGCTCATTGTCACCACGGGAAGACGAAGTAAGGCTCGGAAAACCACGATTCGAACTAAACAAACCAACGTGACCATGGATGGGACTTTGATCAACGCCACCCCGAGCGTGAAGTACCTAGGAGCTAAGCAACGTGATGATAGTTCGATGGTTGAGGAAATTACGCACAGGATCCAGGGAGGAAATGCTGCCCACGCTCGCCTAGCTCGTCGTGCTTTCAAGTGCCAATTCAGTGTCCGACTTAGAGTTCGGTTGTGGTGCTCTTTGGTACGCTCGTCTGCTCTGCACGGCCTCGAAGTCGCAGTCCTTACCAAGCGTGACCTCACTCGTCTAGAAAATTGGCAAACACGGAAGTTGAGGTTCCTTGCTCGTTCTCCTGCACACGTACATCATGTGAGCAATTCTGAGATCCGTCAGCGCACCAGGGTGTACACAGTGGCCTCTACACTGCTGGAGAGACGGCTTGCGTGGTGGCAAGGAGTTCTCCGCCCCGCCTTCCCCGACCTCGTGCAGAAACAGCAGGACCCCCAGGAGAACGGCGCCCAGGAGAACCCAGACGAGGCCCCCGAGGAGCTCTTGGCCCAGGAGAACCCAGACGAGGCCCCCGAGGACCCGAAGTATGACCCCACGAAGTTAGTCCGTGCGGTGGTTTTTGGTCGATTCAATTTCGAGGGCCCCAAGCATAAGGAGATTAATTCGCTCTTGGGAGTTCTTCTGGACGACCTCATACACCTCTGGAGGACCTTCACCCCCGAGGCCCAGCAGCAAGCCAGGGACACCCACGGCCTGAATGAGGAGCTCCCGAACCCGTCTCGCCCGTGGCTTCGCTGGTTGTGTTGCGTCCCCAGGGCCCGACTCAAAGGTGTGCGAAGCACAACTACTGATGACGAAGAGAAGATAGCCGCGGGAATCGCCCCTCCACCTGATGCCCTGCTACCTTGCCCGATATGTTCCAGGATGTGCCAGGGCCCCAAGGGCCTCGACAACCACATGTTTTCGGTCCACAAGAAGTACGCCAACCCCACGGACTTAACAGATGACCAGCTCAGGTCCCTGAAGTGCCCTCGGTGCGCCACTAAGTTCAGCAGAAAGGACACCCTCGTTCGCCACATTCGTATGGGACGGTGCCGAGCTACCCCGTCGCTGTTGGCCCAAGCCTCTGCGAGTCGGGCACCTGAGCCACCCGCTCCTGGACCTCCCGAGCCTACACCACCCGACGATGTTCGTGCCGATCGCGGAGGTCCAGGGAGGCGTCAAGAGGCAGGAGCCCGAGGCTCAGGACAGCACCACAGCGTCCAGCGAGTCGACGCCGAACGGCAAGCTCACGAACCTGATGTGCCGCCTCCTCCTCCAACACGAAGCAGCCCACCAGGCCGACGCGAGGGACGACAACTTCACACTCACCCTCAAAGTCGGCACCAAGATCGAGATGGCACTGGAAAACGGCCTGCAGAACTACATAGCGACTGGCAAATCCGCCCGCGAGGGCGACAACTTCAAGGGCCACCCGCTCGGAAAAAAGCCAGACGCACTCTTGAGGTCGGTGATCTTCCGCATGGCCGAAGCCTACGAGAACAGCTCCCAGCCCGTGCAGGAAGCCGTGAAGAATGGGACCAACCCCGAGAAGGCCCTCGGCGCGCTGGAGGTGCTCCAGCGCTGGGGTTCGATCGCCAAGGACACGGAGATCATGGCGCGCGCGACGCGGTGCTTCAAGGTGAAGCTGGCCGAGGGCGACGTGGAGCAGGTGCGCTGGATCTGGGCCGTCAATTACCATCCCGAGCTCAAGCTCGCGCTGTCCACCCTCAGGGACAAGGGCGGGCTCAAGGCGGCAGGAATCCTCCTAGGCCACGACTACGGTCAGAGGTCCAAGGTTGCAAAGCAGATAGAGGAGCTCGCCTTCCGAAAAAAACGACATGCAGAAGTCGAAGGGCGCCAAAAAGCCCAAGAAGAAGTAGACACTCCCTCGGCCAGTTCTAAGAGTAGAACTCTTCCAGACTTGTTCAAACGCCAGAGACTCAGCAGTTTAGTTCAGTGATGATGGGACTATCTAATCTTTATCGTATCCCATGCTCGTCGGCCTCTTTGCCTTCTCAGACGACTGGTCGCAGTCGATCAGCGCGGGGTGTGGGATGACCAACATGCTGTGCAACAGGTTCCAAGGGTGGAGCGTGTTCGTGCCTGGGAAGTTGCTCGTCCTTTAGGCCCCGTGCGCCTGCCTCCCTCTTTCTCGGTTCAGTATCTTGAGTGCTCCTGAGTTTGCGAGTTTTGATGGGGAGCGGCCCCCCGACCCCAGAGGGGGTTCGGGTGCCGCTCTCACAGTGCCGCCTCCGCAGAGGCGGGGGCGCGTGGGAGTGGGGCGGAGACCCATCCGCTCGTGTTGCGCGCGCACCCGTCGTGGGCCCATCGTTCGTGATATAGGATCTCGAATGCGCCGATATCGGTAGTTTTTCATCTAGGCCCCTCACGAAGCGTCCTTTCCTGAAGGCTCCTGGGCGCAGTGGTTTTAAAAAGGAAGTAAACGATGCATCCCCCAAGAGTTGGCAACATTTTTGGGTTCAGGGGTTGCAGACATCGTCACGCGAAAGTGACCTCTCGGCAGAGAGACTTTGGGTGCGGGCCCACTCGGGTCCCCCGATCGCTGAGCGCAAGGCGCACAGCAGCGGCTTGCGCGCGTGGGCTTGGCCCCCCACCCCCGCGAAGCTCGTGCGCGAGGCGGCCGGAGGGGGTCCGGGGGACGAGGGAGCCACATTCAGGCCATGAAGGTCTTCGTGGTCGTGCCCGAGGACAAGGCGAAGTTCAGGAGGGAAAAAACACACAGACACAATCATTCGTCGATCTCCCAGAAGATATAGGGAAATATGGGAAATGGTGGGGAAGACAAAAAAAAACAGAACATATGAAAA